GTGTGAGGCGGTTCCCAGGTGTGTGAGGGGCCCCCAGCTGTGTGAGGGGTCCCCAGCTGTGAGGGGTCCCCAGCTAAGAGGCAGTTCCCAGCTGTGTGAGGGGTGCCCACATGTGAGGCGGTTCCCAGCTGTGTGAGGCAGATCCCAGCTGTGTAAGGGGTCCCCAGCTGTGGGGACCCAGGTTGGGGACCGCTCAGCAGTTAGAGCACTGGCCATTCATGCAGGGGACCACAATTCAGCTCCTAAGTCCAGCTCCAGGGGAGCTGACCCCTCACCCCGTTCTGGCCTCCATGAATATGTGCATTCACATGTATACACACGTGCACACAGGCACACCCATATATGCACTCACAGGTGTGCACAAATCTATAATTTTTGTTTTTAGAGACAGGGTTTCCCTGTGTAGCCTTGTCTGTCCTGGACTTGCTTTGTAGACCAGGCTGGCCTCGAACTCATGGAGATCTGCCTGCCTCTGCCTCCCAGAGTGCTGGGATTACAGGTGTGCGACACCATGCTCAAATCCATACATTTTAGAAAATTATTTTTAACAGAAAGCTAAGGCCGAGGCCATAAGTAGGAAGGGCTTAACTCTGGCCTTCGGCCTGCGAGTGAGGTTTTGTGCTGCGCAGCTGGCTGGCAGCAGTGGTCCGCCAGCACAGGGAGCCAGAGGGTGAGACATACCCAGCCAAGACGGTGCCCAAGGCGGCAACGACCCACTCGACGCAGTTGGCGCCCAGGATGCCCACACCGTGGAAGCGCTGCAGGCCCAGCTGGAGGGAACAAAACCAGGAGGAAGATGCTGTCAGCTGCTGCGTGTCCACGTCTGCTCAAGATGCCATCCTGAGGAGGAGAGAAACAAACACAGAGACAGACAGAAAACGGAAAAGCAGCTGCACTGACTGGGGAGCCCCTGTCCAGCCTGAAGTCGGGGTGCGATGAGCTCACCTCCTGCTCTTCATTTCCCATCTACTTTGCTTTCATTTCAGGGAGTTCCCGTGGCATGGAGGTCACTGTTTCAGTTTATTATTTTTTCAGGTCGGGGGCAGGAAGCATGTCCGCCTGACTGTATGGCCACGCCTACTCTCCGCCTCCGGGACCTCCCATCTTCCCCACAGGAATCCCGGGCAGGGCTAACTCCATCTCTCCACAGGCCTGGGGACCCACTCTCTCTCCCAGGGTCAGGCGCCCAGGACTCCCTTGGGAATAAGATCCTGCAGGTGTGTCCTCTGTGAGGTTCAGGTCACAGAGTGTCCTGTCCCCCGGGGTCCCTCCACCCAGCACCTTCTATCAGATTTCCCTATTTTCAAGGCTGCGGTGTCCCAGTGCACAGACATCCCCCTCTGCCTGCGCAGCGCTGGACGAGGCCCGCTGCTGAGGCTCAAGTTCGCCTCGTCCACACAGCCATCCTGAGGATGCCCTCTTTCCCAGCAGGGCCTCCTGCTCCCCACCTGACTTCATCCTTAGACACAGAAGCTCCTAGCCTCACTTGATAGGTGGCCTCTGAAACAGCCCCCTGCGAGCTCTCCCCTCCCTGCACCGAGTAATTAGGTGCTGCGTTTCCATTCATCCAACAGGAGCATGCTGCCTTATGCAAATCAGGCATCCTGGACACGCCTAGTTCACATAATCCTGTACACCTGTTCTCCCCAACGGGACCATGACCTTTGTTCTCTGGAACTGAAGTTGAATTAGCTCCCTGCTGACTCTGGCTGGGTGATCCCAGCTGCTCCAGGCCTGCTTCTTGGGAGACAGCCCCCGGGCCGTGGGAGAAGCAGCGGCCCTGGGCACTGGGAGTTACGGTCATGAACGGTGCTTCGGTGGATTCAGACGGACGGCTTTCCCTTTAAGGCCTTGATCTGGATTCCTCTCAGCGTAAGGTTCGTAAGGTTCGAGGAGACAGTTCTGGGTGGCCTGCTGACCCTACGTTTGATTCCTAGGAAATGTGTGCGGATGTTGTGCGTGTGTGCGCGCCGAGGACATCCCCGCCCACGTGCCATCCAGGGGGTGTGGGGTACCGGAGGGCTGGCGGGACCCGTGTGTCTTCCTCTGCTGCTCCTTGGGTCTCTGTTGAGACGGGTCTCCCGCTGGACCAGATGCTCGCCGCCTCAGCCAGTGAGCGTTCACGATGAGCCTCTGTTCACCCACTGACTCTAGGATTGTAAGGACACTCAGCCACCCCTGGCTCTGACACCGGTTCTGGGCCTGAGTGGAGTCTTGTGCTGGAAGGTCCTATCCAGGGCCGTCACACACCTCCCCTATCTTCTCGGGCAGGGTCTTCATGCTTCTTCCCTGGAGGCCGGGCTGCTGGCCGGACAGCCCAGACCCATCACCCTTCCTCACTGTCTCAATTTTAACCACAATGTGTGGGTATCTGCACTATGTGCATGTCCCTATGGCTGCCCAAGAAGCCAGAGCTATAGGTGGCTGCGAGCCACGGAACCTCACTGCCAAGAAGTAAACTGGTACTCTGGAAGAGCAGGAAGAATTCTTAGCTGCTGAGCCACCTCTCCAGCCTCAACCTTTTAAAAATGACCTTAACTTACTGTGGTGTTTTGAATGAGAGTGGCCCGCATAAGCCCATCTATCTGAAGGCTTGGTCCCGAGTAAGTGAAACCGATTAGGAGGTGTGGCTTTGTTGGAGGAGGCGTGTCAATGGGGTGGGCTTTGGGGATTCAGAAGCCCGAGGCATACCCAGTATCTCTCCCTCTACCTGCTGCCCATGGGTCAGGATGTAAAGCTCTCAGCTAGTACTTCATTCAGCACCTGTCTGCTTCCTGACGTGACAATAACGGACCAACCCTCTGAAACTCTAAGCCAGCCACAATGAAATGCCTTCCTTTATAAGATTGGCCCTGGTCATGGTGTCTCTTCATGGGAATAGAACAGTGACTAAGACAGAAGTTGGTACCAGGAGTGGGGTACTGCTGTGACAGGCCTGACCACCATGCTTGCTGAGATTCTGAATTTCCAAAGTGGCTGAGCACTGTAAATGGGACTAGCAGAATCTTGGAGGAGACTCTGCTAGGTTCTGGGAGACTGCAGACTATGGAGGTCCAGCTCTCGAGAGACCTTTCTTCTGACATTTTGGCAAAGAATGTGGCTAATTTTTGCCCTTGTCTAAGAAGCTGCCCGAGGCTTACTGGAAGACTTTTAGATTAGTGGATTGGCAGAGGAGATAAAGACGGCCTGACACTGTCCTGTGGTTCCTAGCGGTCACTTTTATGCACAACTATAATCAAAAGGAGCAAGCAGAGCAGAGAAATACAACATGTACACGAGGAGAAAAGGAGCCCCGGGAAACATAACGTTCGACCAAGTTCTGTGCTCAAGGACATGAGAAGCTTAAAGAAGATCCTGATACTGACTGGAATAAAGGGAGTGGTGCCCTCAGGGCACGACCCCTCCCCGTCAGTCCTGGGACCCTTGACAGGAAAATGCCTAACTAATTAAAGGAAGGTTTATACAGCAGGAAAACACTAACAAGTCAAAGCTCTCACAAATACAGGTCTCGGAAGCGGCCAGGCTCCATTCTGGCAACAGGGCTTGGCAGCGTCAGCCTTGCCGTCCTGGTTTTAGAGTCATGAAGGGCACGCGAGGAAAGTGGCCGTGGACTCTCCGTCTGTGGCAAAGGAAGGCTGCTGGGGCCAGGCAAGAAGTGTGGGATCCCTAGCTTGGGGGTGGAGCCGTCCTTGCCTGAGGCTGTGAACGTGAAGCCTGGGTTGTGTTGTAATGTTAGAATGGGGGGGTGGAGCTGACAAGGGGCATGGAACCAGGCTGAGGGTGAGAGTGTGTCACCTTAGGCTGAGCTGGGAAGAGGGTAGAGCCATGTAAGCCGTCTGGCGTCAGGCAGAGTTAGAGGCCATGGAGCTATCCCTTCTGGGTGTTGGTCTTTTTGGGGGGTTTAGCCTTTCCTCACTATGCCCTCTTTCCTTCTTTTTGGAATGGTAGTGTATGTTCTGTGCCACTGTAGGAAGATGTGATCCCGCATTAGACACAGTTAAGAGATTGTCTTGAGTCTTACAAGAGACTCTGAAGCAGTGTTGTGGACTTCTGGGGTTGGAGTGAATGTTTGTGTATGTATGATGTGGTCAGAGGCCTAAGGAGCCCAGGGGACCAACGTGGTACCGAATGAGGATGCCCCATTGGCTCACGTTTGCATGGGGCCCTAGCTGGTGGGAATGTTTAGGAGGGACTAGGAGGTGTGGCCTCGGAGGAGGTGTGTCAGTGGGGTGGGGTCTGAGGGTTCAAAAGCCCACCCAGGCCGAGTCTCGCTTTCTGTTTCCAACTTGCCCAGATGGTGTAAGCTCTCAGCTCCTTCTCCATCACTCACGGTGGGGTGCAGCCGTGCTCCCCACCGAGACGCTAACGAACTAAACCTCTAATCCACCCCAGTGAAATGTTGCCTTGGTCATGGTGTCACCTCACGGCAACAGAAAAGTGACTGAAGCCTTAAGTAGCCTGGGGTGAACTCTGGCTCACTCTGTGGCCAAGGATGGCCTCGAACTCCCTTTATCTCCTGAGTAGAGATGGCAGGTGTGCATCTCACACTTGGTGCTCTGAGGTGCTGGGAACGGAACCCAGGACTTTGTGCGTGCCAGAGGCCACTCTGGCCACTTCAGCCCAGCTCAACTTTTTACCTTTCCTTCATTTTCTGAGATGGAGTGGAACTTGGGGCCCTCCTGCCTCGGCTACCCGTAGGCTGGGACCCCGAGTTGCCCACAGCCAGCTCTGGGGACCACCGTCTCTGGACGACTGAGGGGGGGGGCTGCCTACCTTGATCAGAGATCTGGCTGCCTTGCAACACACTTCGTAGTACTGGCTGAAGGTCACCGTGTCCCACTTCTTGCCATTCTTCGAGGCTAGGGCTGGGTAAGCGCCGAACCGTTCAACAGACTCCTGGAACAGCTCGGGGATGGTCATCGGGGCCTCGTGGCCCGGCCCGTGTCTGGACAGCCTCAGGCGCACCTCTCCGTCACTGCGAGTACTCCACAGCCTGGGAACTGCGGGAAGAGTCACAGGGCTGGTGACCGCCGTGGAGTCGCGGCAGTCACCCTTTGTACACACGGGCTAGTGCTGCACAGCCAAGCCACGGCCTTGGCCATCAGGGCGGGCTCAAAGGGTTTTACAATTGTTTGCTCATGTGTAGGACTGATTTGCCTGAATGAGTGTTCACTGAGCACCTGCAGTTCCCAGTGCAGCCAGAAGAGGGAGGAGCAAGCGTCCGTAACCACTGAGCGGCCTCTCCAGTCTCCACAGAGATTTCTGTCCAAATGCAGGATGGGGCTGGAGTGCTCAGTGGGTAGAGGTGCTGCCTGCCGACCTTAGGTCAAGCCTCAAGCCCTGGAAATTATGCGGGGAGAGGAGAAACAAGCTCCTGTGAGTTGGCCTCCGACCTCCACATATGCATTGTGGCATGTCTCAGCCTCAAAAAGAGACAAATGTAATTTTTTTTTATTTTTAGTTTTTAGAGAGGAGCCATTTAAGAGGCACCTATTTGTCAGCTCAGTGCTCAGGAATTCCAAAGTTCATGCACAACTGGGGCTAGGAGCAGGCTTGGTTCGTGAGTGCTTGCACTGAAAGCATGAGGACTTGAGTTCAGGTTAAAAAAAAAAATCTGGAAGTATGGTGGTCCTGTACCCACTGCCTCAAATAAATACACAGACAGATGGAAGAGTGGCCGAGCGAGACAGCTAGCAGGCCTTCCTGGCCTCCACACACACACGCATGAGGGTACAGACAGAGAGAGACACACACACAGTGCGGTTTGAGGTCATCCTTTGCTACATAGTGAGTTCAAACTCACCTGGGCTAAACTAAACGAGACATCTCGCGAAGGGAGAAGAACGGACAGAAACCGACAAGAGCTGTGTCAGCCAACAGGATCATGGGACATTGGTGCGGTGTGGTTTAAATACGCCGAGTTCCGTGTAGGCCACGGTTCCCAGCCTTCCTAACGCTGGGACCCTTTAGCACAGGTAGTCCCCCACGCCGTGGCGACCCCAAACATAACACTGATGTTATTGCTCCTCCACAGCTTTAATTTTGTTACTGCCATGAACTGTAACGTCGAAACCCGGCATGCAGGCTATCTGACATGTCACCCCACCCCAAAGGGGTCCCAACCCAGAGGCTGAGAACCATTTAGAGAACCACTCTAAACCATTTTGAGAATTTCATCGATTGCGGTGCTGGGGAGGGGAGGCTTCAGGGGTGATGTTTTTAATTAAGGAGGAGTCACGGCAGGGCTGGTTCTCACACGAGGGGCTGGCAAAGCTTCCCTCCATGTGCCAGGCCCTCTTTCCCTGCTGCTCCTTCGAGAAGCAGGGAGCAAGCCGGGCGGGCAGCATGCAGGGTGTTTCCGTCTCAAAGCCCAGCCTGTGACGTCCTTCTGGAAGCACCTCCTTCCATTCCCCAGGTGCCCCAGCCGCAGAGCAGGTGCCCGTAGGCCCCAGACTGTGAGCCACCACGAGCGGACACCCTTGCTCTCATAGCTGAGCCTGGCTGTGTTTCCCCTCACTGAAATACAACCTCTGAGGCCAGAGAGTCACAGCAACAGAAGATTACCTCACAATCTTGGGACCTAGAAACTTGGAATTGAGCCTGTCTCCAGTGGGGACCTCAGACTAAACTGAAACCTATGGTCTCACCTACTAAGCACCCACACACATAAGATGACATTTTTTTAAGTAAACGGACTATTTCTTCGTGGCAGGATGTTTTAAGCATAATGGCGCCTCTGTCTGTGGCTACAGTGACCTCTCTTGTGCAGGTCTACAGAGAAAAAGAGCCACGGGGGCAGCAAGAATTTCAAACTGTGCAGTTTGAAGAGAAGAAGGGTGCCAGGAAAGTCAATGTTGCAGAGGAGGAGGGCGTGGGAGGCAAGGCTGCAGCTGTTAAAATTAGCGGCGGCACCACGGACACTGGCTCTGGGCTGCAATGCAGGGGAGGGCCCTCAGGCCTACCCAGCTGAGCTTCACCTCCTGAGTGAGCTCTGGGCCGTTCTGCTCCGGGGTGGAAAAGCGGTCACCCAGTGGGCAAGTCCTTCCCAAGCTGGCTGCACCATTTACATACCACTGGCTTTAGTCGCACAGAGGGCGCAAGGGAGGAAAATCGTGGACTCTTCTGTGGCTCCAGAGAGATGCTGAGGCCAGGCACTCTACGATGGGGCAATCGTGTGTGCTGGCTAGGCTGTCAACCTGACACAAGTGAGAGTCGTCGGAGAGGAGGGAGCCTCAGTTGGGAAAAAGGCCCCATGAGATCTAACTGTAGACAAGCCTCTAACACATCTTCTCAACCAGTGAGATGAAATATTTGGAGTAGGGTCCAGCCATTGTGGGTGGGTCCATCCCTGGACTGCTGCTCCTGAGTTCAATAAAAAGCAGGCGGAGCCAGCCTGTAAGCAGCATCCTCCACGACCTCTGCATCAGTCCCCGCCTCCAGCTTCCTGTCCTGTTTGAGCTCCTGTACTGATTTCCTGGGAGGTTTGAATGAGAATTGCCCCTGTTGTCTCACATATGTGAATACTTGGTCCCTAGTTCTGGTGCTGTTGTGGGTGGCTAGGTACAGCCTTGCTGCAGAAAGTGTGTCACGGGGCAGGCTTTGGATTAGGAAGCCCACGTGGCATCTCCTCGGTTCTGCTCCTGCCCGTGGTCAGGTGTGAGCTTTCGGCTCCTGCCCCTGTGCTTTGCTGTCGCATCTCTCACCATCATGGACTCTCAACCCTCAGAACCACCAAGCCGAATAGATCCTTAAGCTGTGGTCATGGTATCTTATCACTCCACAGAAAGTAACCAACACGCCAAGAATCAGAGGTGGCCAGAAAGGAGACCCCAGCCACAGACAGAGCAGCAGCAGCAGGGTTGAGAGGAGGGGCCTACAGATGGGGTACACAGGTATGCTGGGTAGACGTTTCCTCCAAGATTAATACACCACATCACGCAGAGAATACTCAAGAGCTTAGAAAGCAAATTCAGAACCTTCAGGAAGTCCCTGAAACTGACCAGATTCACGAGCCCTTCCTCTGTGTGCTGGTTGGGTTTTTTTGGTTTTGTTTTTGTCAAGCTGATACACACCTAGATGTATATGGGAAGAGAAACCTTGACTGAGAAAACGCCTCCATCAGATTTGCATGCAGGCAAGCCTGTGGTGCATCATCCAGACTGATGATGGACATGGGAGAGGCCAGCCCATTGTGGGTGGTGCTGGTCCTACGTGGTCAGCACCCCTCCATGGCCATGGCTTGAGTTCCTGGACTCATTTCCCTGGACGGTAAGATTAAAGAAACCCTTTCCTCCCCAAGTAACCCCAAGAAACCCCGCCAGGGACACTCCCGGGTGTACATAAGCTGTGAGGCCTGCTGAGACACTCTCAGAGAAGCCAAGCGGCAAAGGACGCTCCCCAGCCCACCCCCTTGCCTGCAGGCCGGGCACCAGGCTCCGGGTTCCCAGCGTCCTGAGCTGTCACTCACGCCTCGGCGAGGGAGTGTTGCCGTGGGCACGCTCTCCCTGGCCATGGCTGCGGCTATCACAGCCTCAGGCTCCGGCCTGGCCTCCCGCCGTGGCGCTGGCACGGCTCAGGGAGCTGGTGCCCTTCTTCATGGGTCGCCTATGACCTAAGTGGCCAGACCCCAATCTGCTGACCGCCGGCTGCCTCACAGCCCACCATGAGGACCATGACAGCCCGGCAGGTCGAGCAAGCTCGGCGGGGCCCCGAGGGACGAGGAGTCCGTCCTGCCCGTGTTGCTCCCTGGCTGGCACAGACCTGAGATGGTCTCCATGTTCTTCTCTGTTGTCGCTCCATGTTCCTCTGTCCTCCTCTCTTGAGCCATTGGTGGTTTCGCCTTTGCAGGTTCACAAGAAGCCTTCCGTCACAGCACTGTATGGCCACGGACGAGGAGCGAGAAGGAAAGAGCAGAGTTTGGCAAGAACAGCTGAGGGTCAGCTTCGACCCCCTGGTGACCCTTCTACCCTGCCTAGACCCTCGCTGGGGATTGCTCAGTCACCCCAGATCTGGCCTGGAAAGATGTTTACATGCCAGAGAATGAAGGAGTTCTAAGCTAGAGAGGATTCCACGGTGAGAGTCTAACCTGGACTTCCCTGCCCTCCCTCCTTTCCCCCTCTGTTCCTTCCCATCCCTCTTTTCTTTTTTTTTTCAAAAGTATCATTGGGCCAGCTAGTAGGTCAAGGCACTCAGTGCCGAGACTGACAACCCGAGTTCAATCTCTTTCCACGTGGTAGGAGAGAACTGACCTCCCCGAGTTGTCCTCCGACCTCCACACACACAGGCACAAATACACACAACAATAATAAAGTAATTACCACAACTCTGTAGCTAGGCATAGGGTTACCCTGTCACTGCAGCTCCCGGGGGGAGGGGGAGCTGTAATCACAGAGCAGAGGGAGGCAGAGCAAAAATAAGCTCTCAGAAAGTAACGATACTCAGAACACGCCACCAATCCAGCCCTTGCGGGGAAGAGGCAGGCACACTGCTGCGAGTTCGAGGCCAGCAGAAGCTACATGGGGATTGCTGGGTCATGTGACCCACTCGGCTTCCGGTTCTGTGAGAGACAGTGTCTCCAAACACAGGGTGAACACTGCCTGAGGATGGGCACCCAAAGCTGACCTGTGACTGACACACACACACACACACACACACACACACACACACACACACACAAACACACGAGGTGGCCCTCATACATCCTGTGCACGCAGCAGACACTGAAACAGTGCACACTACCACAGCAGCATGTGGAGGCCAGGGTGGCCCTGGCCTCCACCTTGTTTGACACATAGGTCGCAGAAGGACACAGCCACATTCATCTCATATCTGGGCCTAGGAATCTGAGCCCAAGCCTGCACTTTAGTTCAGCAGGTACAGGAGGATCAGGAGTTCAAGGCCATCGGCCTTCCCTAAGTGTGGGCTCCGTTCTGAAATGGTAATGGTTGAGTGCCCCACTCAGGGGTCCTGTGGGAACCTCACCACACATCTCTTCAAGAGGTGGTGCTCTGGCCGAGGCGGCCAGGTGTTGCCAGCAGAGACATGGGGTCACCAAGGTATTTCTCCTTCCACAGAGCTGGTCGGCTGTGGGTCGTCCCTTCTTGCTCTGCTCACCGCCTCGGGCTAAGCAGGGTGATAGTGATGGTGGAGGGAGGGACGAGGGTGGATGGCCTTCCCGAATGACAGAACTTCTACCTCGGCCAGGCTTCTGGAACCTTCTGCTCAGGCCTCCCCTTGTGACATCACTGGCTGTACTCCCCTGCGCCCCAGCCTCAGGAGAAAAGCGCCGCCAGGGAAAGGCAGCGTTTCACGCATTCCTGAAGCACTCACGCATGCACCTCATCCACCCACCACTGTGTTCCTCCCCCATTCACCCAGCCCATCATTCATTCATTCAGTTACCCACTCATTCATTCTCTATGTGCTTGTGAGCTCTGGTCTGGTTGTTTTATTCACAGTTCCAGTGTGCACTACTCTGGATAGAAATATAAGTGAAACTGGACAGGGTCATTCAAACACCTGTGGAGAGTCCTAAAACCAAAAAACACATCAAAAGCTACGTCCGCGGTCTGGGGCTGTAGCCCAGTGGGTAACGTGTTGCATTAGACAAAGCCCTCATTCACCCTGTGTGGCCATCACCATCGGGCCCCAGGACCTCCGTCTCCCCAGGTCACGCCTCACTCCCACCCTCGCCCTCCCGGCTTCCCACCATCCACTTCCTGTCTCTGTGACTTGCTCTGAGGCAGCCTCATCTGGCATATTTCACGGGGCAGTGTACCATCATGGTTCCTCCAGTGTTGGGGTAGGTGTCCTGTCAGAACGCCTCAGACTGCAGAGATCCGCCCCCCCCCCAACCATTGGTGAACACAGGCCAGGAGTGGCTGCTGGGTGACGTGATTATGTGACACTTCCAAGTCCCTTCTTTCAACGGTTTCTGGCACATAACCAGAAGGGGGACTCGTGGTCATTCTATTTTTAGTTCTCTGACACAGGGTCTTACGCAGGCCAGCCTGCCCTAGGCACACGAGTCCCTCCAGCCAGCAGCTCTTTGGGGACCAGTGTCGTGGGAGTTCCCTGGCTGGTGGGACTTAGGCAAGGTCTCTTGAGCCTCACCTGTCCTTGTCCCCCCAGAGCTAGCCTCTTGCAAAATGGGCAGTGAGTCACAGTGCCACTGTGGCCCTGGCTCACGGAACACAGTGATGTCACAAGAGCTGTAGAAGGGAATGTTCTGGGGGACACCAGGTCGGGGGGGCTGTGGCTAGAGCAGGAGAGGGTGACAGAACTGGACAGGAGTCACTACTGCCCTGCAGCCTGTCGGGGAGGCAGGGGGCCGAAGACGACACGCACCGCATGCCAGGAAACGCCTGGCAGCTGCCTGAGGGGAAGAGAGGTACTGAAAACCCTAGTCTTTTCTCCCCTCCTTTCCATCCCCCTCCCCAGGGTCTCATGTAGCCCAGGCTACCCTTGAGCTCACACAGCACACACACCTGAGGAACCGGGTTCACTCCGCAGCCCCACCTAAAAGCTGGGTGTGCCAGCACACCCCTGTGACAGGCACTGCTCACAGGCAGTCAGCTTGGCCAACAGGCAAGCTCTGGGTTCAGGGGAGAGGGGTGCTGACGGCCGACGCCAGGCATGTCTCAGAAGACGAGCAGTGCGGCCAAGGAAGGTCCCCACGCACTGCACACACAGGAAATGTCCTCACCAACAGCCAGCTCGTTTTCTCTCCTTTGCCAGCACCCACGGCTCGCATCCTCCCACCCCTTGGTCTTCGAGGCTCCCATCTTGGCCCGGACAACCACCCCACCGCCCGCTCCAGCCCGTGAGGAGGCAGGCGCCCGGCTGTGTTCCTGTGACCCTGGTTCCCCGGAAACGTGTTTGTAACGTGTGAACAGCTGCGGGCCACGTCCCTGCTGAGGGGATGTCTGTCCCTAAGCCACAATGGAGCGCCAGGCCCGGCCCAAGCGCCAGGCCCGGCCCAACCATCAAAACCATCTTGAAGTCCGGGAGGAACACGGCAGGAAGAAGCCCTTCCCTCCGGGAGACGCTGACCCCAGGTGGGAGCTGGGGTGCTGGCCTGGCCGCGCTGGCCGCACAGGGCCCGAGCGAGTCCTCCCATGCACACCGGGACAGGTGGTGGAGCACTGGACCCAGGGGTTGGGTGGCCAGTTGGGGTTGAGGTCCTTGTGCACCAGGGGAAGCGCGGTGCCCATGGCCATATGACCCTTGCTGGGGAGTCATATGGGAACAGAGGCCGTCACTCCATGTCCTACTTTCTGTGGGTCAGGGGATAGCGGACCTCTTCCCTGTCCTTTGTCCCATCCCCGTGGAGAGTGACCTCTGACCTCTATCCTCCAGTCCGCCTGGGGACAAGACCATGACTCCCTGTTCTTCCTCCATGGGGGAAGTGACCTCTGACCCCGTCCCCTGTCCTGGAGCCAGTGACTCACCGTCCTTCCAGGGACCCCATGCCCGTCCCTTGGAGTGGTCTCTGATCCCTCCTCAGGTACCTGCTACTGGACTACATTGCCTGACGGTGAGGTGCAGCTGCGCATGAACAAGAACGCAGAGAACGAGCCCCCGGTCACGGTGCCCGACATGATCATGAGTGCGGCCACCAAGTACTCGCACTACTTGGCGATCGGCTGCAAGCACAAGAAGACTTGGCAGCTGCTCACCTACGTGGAGTACTACGAAGCCTGCCGGCGCGCCGCCAAGGCCTTCCTCAAGGTACTGCTTCCGCGCACGCGTGAGCGTGCTGGGGGCGGGGCTCCCGCGCAGCCCCAAGGTTTGCGCTCCACTTCTGCTTGCTCTTTTGCTTCGGGAGTGTCAGGCCGCCGTTAGTCCGTCAATTATTTGCCACTCCGAGCCTTGGTTTCCTCGTGTACAAGATTCCTTCTGCACATCGCATGTGCCTTAGCATGCTGTAATTGTACATCGACTATCCTTTGGCTCCTTACTACACATATTTTTCTCTTTCAATCTTGGATGTGCATAAGCATGCAAGCTATAGCACAGAGCTCTATCAGGCGTGATAACACATACACTGTGTTGTGTCATACGCTTAAATATATTCACAGAGCTGGAGAGATGGCTCAGAGGTGAAGGGCACCGGCTGCTCTTCCAGAGGTCCTGACTTCAATTCCCAGCCACCACATGGTGGCTCCCAACCATCTGTAATGAGATCCGGTGTCCTCTTCTGGTGGGCAGGTGTAAATGCAGGCAGAGCACTGTATAAATAAATAAATAAATACATCTTTAAGCAATATATTCATATAAATCTTGAACTCTAGAATGTGAAAGCACGAGAGCTTTCACACACAAGAACGCCAGCAAGTCGATGGGTCTGAGGCACGCCCCTGGCTCTGCCTCCCAGCACTGGGAACACAGCACCCTCCACCACACTTGACTGAGGACTGTTGCATGGCAAGTGCTTCAGCCCCTCCCACCTGCCTTGTCTGTCTTTCTGGCTCCCTGGTGTCATGACAGCATCCTTGTCAGCGGGTTCCATGAGAAGCTCTACTGCTCCGCCCTCTGGTGTTTGTGGAAATAATGAATTTCTAAAAGGGCCAACCTTGAGATTAGGGAAGGGAATAAAAGAGACTTGAACTGACTTGTCCAGTCAGCCTAGTAAGGAGGGTCAGGGGTCAGTGATCTAGAGCATGCTGAAGAAAGGGAGGGAGAAAGAGCCAGAGATAGGGGGTGAACTTTTAAAGTATGGTGGCCAAGGAAGAGTTCATAGACAGTAAAACTTCAGCCAAGTGGAGGAAGGTGCTATCAGGAAATCTAGGGAGGAACACAACAAGCCAAAGGCACACACCATGCAAACGCCCTGGGCTAGAGGTCGTCTGTGCAAAGGATGCCTGCTGTGGTGGGGCAGCACTGGAGATGGGCTGGTGGGTGGGTGGTGGATGGATGGATAGGTGGGTGGGTGGTTAGGTGGGTGGGTGAGTGGGTGGATGGGTGAATAGATGGGTGGGTGGGTGGGTGGATGGGTGGGTGGGTGAGTAGATGAATGGATGGGTGGGTGGGTGGATGGGTGGGTGGGTGCGTGGGTGGGTGGGTGGAGGGTGGGTGGATGGGTGGGTGGGTGGATGGGTGGGTGGGTGGGTGGATGGGTGAATAGATGGGTGGGTGGGTGGATGGGTGGGTGGGTGTGTGGGTGGGTGGGTGGAGGGTGGGTGGGTGGGTGGGTGGATGGGTGAGTGGATGGGTGGGTGGATGGGTAGGTGGATGCTGACTAACAGCATCAGCTGGACGACAGCACTCGGATAACGGAAGCATGTGGTGGTGCCCTCTCAGCATTACTACTATGTGGCAGCTTCGGCTCAAGGACAGATGGTTCGGAGGAGACTCTCGGTTTTCCTGTACAGACACTGTGAGGTCAGGGCGGGAACAGCTGAGTCTCCTGGGTCTCACACGGGCGTCCCCCCTCAGGTGGGCCTGGAACGCTTCCATGGTGTGGGCATCATGGGAATCAACTCCATGGAGTGGGCGATCGCCAGCATCGGGGCCATCATGGCGGGGTAAGGTGCCCCTGGCCTGCCCTCCCAGGGTCTCCAGGTCTTGCCTCTGTCGAAGCCCACCGGGTTCTTCTCGTTCAGGAAGCTCCCACATTACAGTTCGGTTTCGGAGCCCTACATTACTGCCCCTTCCTCTAGAAATGCCTCCTTATTTCTTTCCGTACCCTAGCACGGAGCCCTCCCTGCATCCATGCAGAACATTTGGGGGAGCTTTTTTGAGTCCCGCCTTCCAACAGAGTATGGAGACCCCAAGACCCCACAGTTCCCCTAAGTCCTCAGTCAGCGGACCTTCTGCTCCTGGTTTCTGCCTCCAGCGGCATCTCTGTGGGCCTTCTTTGCACCTACTCGCCCAAAGCCTGCCAGTTCATCGCCGAGACCTCGGAGATGGACATCATAGTGGTAGACAATGACAAACAGCTGCAGAAGGTCCACCAGGTGAGAGGGCCTGTGGCGTGGGGCCCCATCAGGCTGGTGGGGTCCGAGACACTTTCAGCCTGGGGGGCGGGTCTAGGATGCCCTTGCCGGCACGACACACACAGTAACAGTGCCACACTTAAACACAGTGTAAGGGTGGAGAGCCAGAGAGGGAGACACTGGTGTGCCTTTGTGAGCCTCGGTGAACATGCAGGCACGCACGTGTGCGCACACACACAAACACACACACACGAAATAATGTGTGGTGAGAACTGGGGCTGTGCATCTTAGCGGCGGAGGGTGCGTGCCTGGCAGGCGTGAGGCTCCACACATCAGATGGTTTAAAATGGAATAGTCACACGTTAAGAACACTGGGCAGGGGCTGAAGAGACAGCTCGGCCGGTGAGAGCACCTGCAGCGCTTTGCTCTGTCCTTTCGGAGGACCTAGGTTGGATTCCCAGCACCCACATGGTGGCTCCCAGGTCCGGGGGATCTGATGCTGTCTTCTGGCCTCCACACGTGCAGGCACATGCACACACACACAAAAACTAAAAAGAATAAGATGTGCATAAAACATTGACCCTAGCGGGCAGAGCACTCACCAGCATGAATGGGGCCCTGGCTTCCATCCCGGGCACCACAGAACAGTCATGGCAGTAAGGCCTGCCAGGAGTTCAAGGTCACCTTCAATGACATAGTGAGTTTGAGTCTAGCCTGGCTCACGATCCAATCTCCCCCAATCAAGAAAGCCAAGAAGGTCTTTGGGAGCCCCTCCTTGGGGCTCAAGACGGCTGAGAGCCCATGTTTGTCTGTGCTGGCCCCATGGTGTCCTCCAGATCCAGGATTACCTGAAGCATTTCAAGGCGATCATACAGTACAGAGACGAAATCCAGGAGGTGAAGCCAAATCTATACTCGGTATGTCTAAACAGGGGCGTACGGGAGGGACAGTCGTCACACACCTGGAGACTCAGGCCAAGCTCAGCCTTTTTGTTTTGTTTTGTTTTTTGTTTGTTTGTTTGCTTTCAAGACAGGGTCTCTCTATGTAGCCCTTGCTGTCTTGGACTCCCTTTGTAGACCAGGCTGGCCTCGAACTCAGAGATCCACCTGCCTCTGCCTCCCTGAGCGCTGGGGATCTAAGGTGTCCGACACCACGCCTAGCTCAAAGTAGGATTCTTTAGTGTGTCTTTGTGTGTCGGCTTCGTGCTCTCAGAGTTTCTCCATTCTGGAACATGCCTCAGATGGCTTTCCTTTTCATGGCTGATTACAGTGTGTGAATGGCGCTGGCGTGGGTTGGCTGGCACGGGTCTGGGGTAGCTTCCACTCCATGGTGCCCACTGGCCAGTCTTTTTGCAGTGGAAAGGGTTCCTGGAGCTCGCGGATGGCATCTCGGATGAGGAGCTGGACCAGATCATCGACTCTCAGAAGCCTAACCAGTGCTGTACCCTGGTGTACCAGCAGGGCTCCACGGGGCCCCCGAAGGCCGTGATGCTCAGCCACGACAACGTGAGTGGCCCTTCGGGCCGGCTGGCCCAGCCTGGCCACGCTCGGGATGAAGACCCTAGACCTGACTTAGCCAGATGCCTTTCAGATCACATGGACCACGGCAGCCACCGTCCAGAGGCTTGGGTTCAAGTGTCCGCCTGATGGCCAGGAGATCCTTGTGAGCTACCTGCCGCTCTGCTTCGTGGGCACCCAAATCTTGGACATGTGGGTGGCCATCTCCGTGGCTGGGACAGTCTACTTCCCTTCGATAGAGGCAGGGGCGTGGAGTGGGCTCCCACGAGCCCCTGGCACGGTGAGGCTGGGGTTAAGAGCGACAATGGCCTGATGTGGGCAGCAAAGGGGCAGGGCAGGGAGTGGGGAGCTGTGATGAAGTGAGGACCACCACTCCCCACACCCCCACCCCCGCCGCCTGGCCTTCTGGGTTTTGGGGCCTGTTTCCCCAGATGTGGAAGGCGAAGCGAGAAGGGTAGGGTTGGGGTGCTGCAGGGGTCCCTCTCCCCAGCCTCGGTCTGGCTTTCTGCTTCCTCTTCTCTCCTCCCATGGAGGCAGCGGCTTCTGCTGGCATGGCTCTGCCTTGTCCTTGATCCCCTCCTGGTTCCCCGAGCTGGTTTCCTGCCTTGTGACACTGGTGTGCATGGGGGTCCCCTAGAGCCCCATCCCGCCCCATTCAGGGCTTTCTGACGGAGATGCTCCGAGAGGTCCAGCCCACCACGTTCTGTGGTGTCCCGTGGGTGTGGGACCGCATGCTGGACAGTCTGAAGACCAGACACCTGGACTCCAACGCCTTCCGCCGGAAGGTCGACCGCTGGGCCATGCGCATGGGCCTGAATGTCAGCAAGAGGCGGATGGAGGGGTACGGCGGGCACTGGGGACGGGCGGGGCGGGCCCCGGGGACAGCGGTCACACGTGGCTTCCGTGGCTCCGCTTCTAAAGGCACATGTACCAGCCGCTGGGCTTTGGCCTGGCCAAGAGACTGGCCTTCGACCCCGCCAGGAAGTTCCTGGGTTTCAACCACTGCCAGCAGTTTCTAAACGTGGGCCCGGGGCTGCCGAGGGCCACGCTGGACTTCTTCCTCAGCTTGGACATCCCGATCTTGGAGATATACGGCCTGACAGAGTGCACTGGGCTGCACTCTCTTTCCAGTGCCCAGGACTTCCGTGTCCAGAGGTGGGTCCGACGTCTTTTGACGTCTTTCCCCTGGCCCACCCCGCCAGGACAGTAGCGGGTCAGGAATCCCCTGGATTTGGGCCACCGGGAGACAAGCGACTGCTGAGCCCCGTGGGTGTAGCTTTCCTTCACATTTGTAACTCCCTTCTCGCCAATGTTTCTCTCTGGGGTGCGGGTGGAGGTGGGATCCAGGCCCCTTTAAGTGCCAAGCAAGTGCTGGACACCCACACACGGAGGGCAGCCTCCCTCAGAGTGAGCCTTCCAACAGACTGGCCGATGGGGCTTCTGGGGACATCGCTTCAGGCTGTGCAATGGGTGAGGCAGCGAGCACGGTGTCGGAGGCCAGCTGCGGCCAGCATTGCTTGCCTGCACCTGTATGTGGGGGGAGGGCTTGTTTTTTTTTTGTTGTTGTTGTTGTCTTCCCCTCTGCCTTTTGAAGTCATCTCACTAACCACCCCTAGTTATCCAGGCTGGCCTCAAACTCACAGAGACCCGCCTGCCTCTGCCTTCTGAGTGCTGGGACTACAGGTATGCGTCACTGCCTGACCTTGTTGCGTTTGTCTTAGGAAACAGGATCTTCCTACGTAGCTACAGTTAGCCTCAAACTTAGAGCAATGCCCCTGCTTTCGCTTCCCAAGCCCTGCCGCCACAGGCTTGTGCCATCACACCCGGCTTTGGGCTGAATCCTAAAACCGCAAACCCATTCTGATTGGTTGTTTAGGAGAGAGGTGGATGGCCGCCCATACTGACCCGTGTCACCCGAGAGGACAGTGTGACATGTGTCGGTCTCTCTTGAATGCACTTTGGAGCCTTGCCATTAATTACCTGTTTTCCCGCACGGCCTTGTTCTGACCGGAAGACAGTGAAGGAGTGGGGGGTGAGGACGGGGCAGGCCCTGCAGGACCGCGGCGCTCCACGGGTTCTCCGGCCCCGGGGCGCGCGCGCCAGCCCCGCTGTCTCAACCTCGTGCCCTCAGCTGTGGGAAGGCGCTCCCCAGCTCCCACACAAAGCTGGAGAAGGAGAACCTGGACGGAGTGGGGAGCTTCTGCATCTGGGGCCGCCACGTGTTCATGGGCTACCTCAACGACAAGGAGAGCACGGAGAAGAGGCTTGACAGCCACGGCTGGCTGCACACCAGCGACCTGGGCTGCTTCGACTTCGACAAGTTCCTCTATGTCCTGGGCGACGTCCACGGTGAGGGGTCTGCACGTTCCCGGGAAGGGGGCGCCCGGCCCGGCCCCGGCTAAGCCGCATGACTGAGCGTCCCTGTGCCGCTCCAGACATGATCACGCTGAGCTCGGGCGAAGTGGTCAACCCGTGCCCCATCGAGGAGCGCGTGAGGTCCCGCATCCCCATCGTGCGCTACGCCTTGGTGGTGGGCCAGAACGCCCCGTTCCTGTGCGCCCTCCTCACCCTGAAGGTAGGTACGAGGGGCTCCCCGGAGCAAGCCTGGCAGTCTGCACGGCTGGGCTCCACGGGAGTCGCTCCGTCACTGAGTCACTGTTTTTAGTGACTTTTTTTTTTTTGGTCACTGTGACTAAGTACCTAACCAGAAGCAATTTAAGGGGGGGGGGCACTGGAGACACCCTGGGCCCTGGAGCACACGTGTAAAGCTGGGCACAATGGTGCACACTTTATAATGTCCCGTGCTGGAGGTGCTGAGGAGGCAGACACCAGTAAGCACACACCAGTGAGAGAGCCTGGCTCAGATTAAAAAGGTAGACAGTGCTGACCACTGAGCTGACCTCTAACCTCCAGGCATCGTGTATGCATGACTACGTACACAGACGCTTACGCACACAGAATTTTAAGGCAATTCAAGGAAGTTGTTGTTGTGAGACAGGGTTTCTCTGTGTAGCGCTGGCTGTTCTGGAACACACTCTGTAGACCAGGCTGGCCTGGAACTCACAGAGATACACCTGTCTCTGCCTCCCAAGTGCATGCACCGTACCATGCTTGGCTTAAAATACTTTTTTTGTACTATTACGGGTATCTGTGTTGATGGTGAGGAAGTCAGAGGATGATTTTGTGGAGTGTGTCCCAGGGATGAAACTCATTTCCTCAGGCTTCCCAGGCCTTCACCCACTGAGCCTTGCTCGTGGGCATTTTTATGTTAAGCTCCCCCGGAAACTGAGACACTCCCTATCAGTGTGCCTCATGAGGATTTCAGAACCTGGTCCGTGGACACTGCAGGTGTGCCCTGGGGTGGCTTCCAGAGGAGTCACAGCCTGCCTTCCCACTGTTGGTTCTGAGGAGGGTGCAGAGTGGCTGACTACAGACAGATCTAGAGTTCTTACGGCAGACATGTCCCTCAAAGTGTGGACACAGAGCATTGGCCTCGAGGTACCAGTCTGTTTGAGAAGATGGGCTCTGGCTTGAGAGGTGGCTCAGTGGCCAAGGGCGCTCACTGCCAAGCCTGACAACCTAACTTGGATCCCGGGACCCCACAGTGGAGGGAAACTCAACTCCAGGTGGCCTGTTTCACAGGGCTGCAGGCCAGCTCCGCCCCTGGCTCATGGCACCAGCAGGGCTTTCTGGCGCACTGGCCCCTGTAGCCTGGAGGACTCTCGTATCCCAGGGTGGCACGGGTACGGGTCCCCAGTGGGGCTGCTCACGGAAGGCCTGCTCTGTCCTCTCCACAGTGTCAGATCAATCAGGAGACTGGAGAGGCCCGGAGTACCCTGACCAGCGAGGCGGTGGCTTGCTGCCGGAAGCTGCGGAGCCAGGCCACCTGGCTGGCAGATGTCCTATACGACCGTGACCCTCTGGTCAAAGAGTTCATCAGCCAGGGCATCAAGGCTGTGAATGAGGAGGCGTCCTCAGAGGCTGCCAAGATCATTAAGTGGGTCATTTTAGACAACGATTTCTCTGTGGGCAGTGGGGAGCTCGGTGAGTGAGTAGCACGGGTGGGCTGTGGGCCCCTCAGCCTTCCAGCCCCAGGCCTTCACGGAGTATGGGAAGGGTGGTCACATGGCTTTAGCAGTTTTGCAACAAAACACATTTGAAACAGGTATGGTGGCTCCCATCTGTCAGCGGAGCACTCAGGAGTCTGAGGCAGGAGGATCATGAGTTCAAGGGCTGTCCAGGGTACAGAGAAGTGAGACTTTGTTTCAAAAACAAATCTGGGGATTGGGAGAAGGCTCAGTAAGAACGCTGACTGCACAAGCATGGGGACTTAGGTTTGATCCCCAGAATCCACATTAAAGAGACAAAACAAAACACCACCACAGGTATGCAGCTGGCCTTCCTAAGATTTACTTTTATATTTATGTGTATGACTATCTGCATGTATGAATGAGGACATGGAGTTGCAGGTGGTTGTGAGCTGCCGTGTGCTGGGAATTGAACCCTGGCCCTCTTCCGGAACAGTCCCTGCTCTAACTACTGAGCCATCTCTCCAGGCCCAGGGCACTTTTTTCCTCCTCCTGAGTGCTGATATTAAAGGTGAGCACCACCTGCCTCTCAGTGCATTTGCAATCCCAATGCTGAGGAGGTTGAGACTGGAGAATCCCTGGTGCCTCCTGGATGGCCAGCCCAGCCTTCTTGACCAACACCAGGAAAACTTAAGATAATGTTAAAGAAAGAAAAAAGGATTGGAAGTAGTAATGCACACAACTTTGATCCCAGCACTTGGGAGGCAGATCTCTGTGAGTTTGAGGCCAGCCTGGTCTACATAGTGAGTTCCAGGACAGCCTGGTCTACATGATACAAAAAACCACATTGGGAGGTCAGATGTTCACTGGCTGTGAGGGCTTATGCATGAGGACCACAGGAACTCATTGCCAAACCGCCTTAGTTCAAGGTTGTTTAATCCCAGCCAGCCACTTGGCTGAGGTTAAAAACACTTGCTATGGGAGGACACTCAAGTTTAGTTCCTTGCACTCCCCCCCCCCCCCCCCCCGGCACTGGGCACCTCACAGCCATGGGGAAATCTGATGCCCTCTTCTGGCCTCCAAGGGCGCTGCAAGCACATGTACACAGACACATTCTCCCCAACCTCTGAGGCAGGGTTTCTCTGTGTTGCCCTGGCTGTCCTGGACCCACTTTGTTGACCAGGCTGGGCTCAAACTCAGAGGTCCGCCTGCCTCTGCGAGCCGGGATTACAGGCGTGGGCCACCGCACCTGGCCATAAAATAAAATCGTTAAAAACATCTCCCATATCCAAGCCCTTCTTGCATGAAACATGATGTGCTGAGCCCAACCCCAGCTTTCCTCACAACTGGAAGATGGGCCAACTTCAGACTTGTAATTCTGGACTTTTGGGGAGTACAGAGGCATCATCTGAGTGTTGGAGGATTCTAAACATGACCCACAAGGCTGAGGCCGTTTGAACCCCAGGTTGCTGGGGCGGCAGCTCCAAGCCTCCTCTTAACCATTGCCCCCCCCATAATGAATGTAGTAAAGAGCTCTCGGGGCGCCTTCAAGTGGGATTCTACTCCCCAGCTCTCTCCTCCCCAGCTCCCATGCAGCCCTAATGAGCACTTGGGCCTCTAAGTCAGGCTCAGGCTGAGTGGGGGCTTCCATCGCAGGGCCCATGAGCAACATCAACAGGGCTGTTGTGGCCAAGGTCTATGAGGACGACATCCAGCACTTCTATGAGACGAATCAGAGTTCCTAGCAGCCGGGGCACCCCGATCTTCACTCCAGTGCTGGTGGCTTGTGCCTTCACCCTGCTTGTCAGAAGACAATTTCTACAGTGGGGAAACGGGGCCCTGTGAGGCCCTGGGTGGAAGGCATAGTCTGCCTTCTAGGGTTGCTCTCTGAATTGTAAAGAAATTAATTAAATGTGTTCACTGAAGTGGTGGCTTTCACCCAGGGATAATTTTGTCAAGGGACACTGGGTGACATCTGAGAACATGTGGCTGTCGTGACTGGGGAGAAGTGGGTGGAGGCCTAGGACACCAACAGCACTCTGCAGGACCCAGTGGCAGATGCCAGGGTAAGACCCTCAACTTCATAGACTCCTGACTCAGGCTTCATGTTGATACCTTGAGTGACATGAAACTCAAACATGAAACTCAGCTCACCCAGACTTCATTCCTGCGCTGACAACTGTTTTTGCCATAGTTGGTCTAGAGTCTCAGCCTTTACACTAGGAAAGTTTGTAGCCACAGCTGCGCCCTCACTGGGGACTGCAGGCAGGACCCCCATCCCTTACCTGTGTGTGTATGCGCACACAAGTCCTCAGGATACATTAGACGGTGTTGGATGTCCTGGAGCTGGGGTTTAAAGGGTTGTGAGCTACCATGTGTTCTGGGAACTAACTTGGGTCCTCCGTGAGCAGAATGTTGTCTCAACCACTGAGGCCCCTCCCCAGCACATTTACATACACACTGTGTTAAATGAGCCGAGGAATTGCTGAGACCTACAGTCTTCTTAGAAACCATGCAAACGCTCCCAGTTGGTACCTTGATACAGAGACCGGAGCACAGCCCCTGGGCATGGTGTTTGGAAGGAAGGACTAAGATATCATGCTGCCTCCTTCAGAAACAGTTGGGAGACCCCAAGGCCTCCCCAGATCTAAACACCCCAAACTACAGAAAGGAGTCTAAACTCCTGATGCATGCCAGACAGCATGTGCTGGGCAGCCCTGGGGACACACAGCTGTGGAGTCCTGATGGGGCTGGAAGGGACATCCTGACAGCTGGGGCAAATGGGGCACAGAATTTACCCCAGAAGTGGAGGTCATCCCCTGGTGTGAACTCATTAAAATGCGGGGACTGACACTTAGGTTCTGAAAAAACTCAGCTTCCCAAAGCCCTCCCCACCGGTCATATATACAGTCCTGACTGCAGAGGGGAGGAGGTGCAGGTGAGAGTCACAGGTTAGAAACAGCACTACAGGGCTGGGCTGCAGCTCAGTGGGTAGAGCTCTCATGTAGTGTGCCCTGGGTTCCATCCCCAGCATCACAGATCTGTTTGCACAGCAGTAAGGAAGTGGAGGCAGATCAGCTCAAGGTTTGCCTGGGCTACTCTGTCTCTAAACAAAACTACTGTAACAAGGATACATGGGTCAGTGAGAGAGGATGTGGCTAAGGAAACCCAGGTAGAGGGCTAGGCTGCAGTCTGCACACCGTCTGTCACTGACTGCTGTTGAATTTGGTCCTCGACGTGGCTGTCGGGAAATGAAACTGGGGGGGTTTGGACTCCTCAGGCGTGGCTTCCTGCTCTCCTCGCAGGAGTGTTAGGGGAGCCCAGTCCTTTCTCTTCATGCATATGAATTGCTCTTCAGCCACTCCCGGGAACATAGAGACTTCACCGGAAGCTACTGCGATGCCTGACTGCAACCAGCTTTCTGAGCTGCAAGCTCCACAGACCCGTTTTCTTTATAGGTCTCCAGTCAGCACTCTCCAGTGGTCCAAACCGCCAGCACACTTGCTAAGTACAGACTGAGACCCCACACTTGTGTGTGCACGCATGCCTTTGATAAAAACTGCATGCACATATACGTGGAGACCTTCCTCAGAAGTGACGAGCTTGTTTTCTTTCTTCTTACAAAGGATCTCCCTGAACCTGAAGATGGTCAGACTCCACTGGCTGTCAGTGAGCTGGGGTGGGGAGGGCTCAGTGGTGGTGCGTGCTTGCAGCTCTCCCAAGTCTAGTTCCTAGTACCTACACTGCACAGCTTACATCGACTGACTGACCTGCAACTCCAGCTCCAGGGGATCCAACATCCTCCTCTGGCCTCCACTAGCAGCACCTCCCAACATGACATGTGACGCCCAACCCCATACACACACAAAACCCCACAGACAAGTGCACATGCTGGTACAGCTGGCTTGCAGGTCCCAGGTTTGCAGAAGACCATTTTACCAAACTGTGTCCCCCCCTTCCTGTTTTAGTCACCGGGCATCTCTTTGCAGGCTCTGCCGCATGAGGGCAGGCAGTAACCGTTGGCATGTGAGCTGACGGCCAGCACACCGATGGCTTGCTGGAACTGTCTGGCAGTGTCAGGCTCAAGGGGCAACAAGGGTCCATTTCACGGCCGAGCATGAACACTGGCTGCTGCCTGTGCAGACGCTGCTTGCTTACTACTGACCTTCAGATCCAACAGCCCGAGACCTGGAGACCCTTCTCCAGCCGGAGGTAGGACAAAGGTGTCACAACCACCTGTGTTGGGAGTGGGGCGCTGGGTACTGACCAGCACTTGAGATGACCTGCTCCTGCCTAAATGGTGGTGGGCTGTGCCTGGCCGAACCCCCAAGCTGCCACCTGCTAACACAAGTCAAGAGGTGGCTGCCCTGCAGGCATGGTGGCCAAGGATGTGGGCCTCTGTGTGCCACTCAGGCACGCATGCATCCCTGACCCTCTGAATGGAGCTCAGGTCTGGAATCTGGAAAACGGGCAGTGAGGGTGATGCCAGAGGCTCTAGAGTCTCTGCCAAGGGCCGCCTCCTCCCCCTCCCCACCCCTCCATGACCCTGCCGTGTTATAAGCTGCCCTCAACACCTGCTCCCAAGGATACTACACAGCTTTGGACCCGACCCCCGCCCAGGCTCCCAGGGCCATTCTTTCCCACTCCTGACTGAATGAAGACGGGCCACCCACTGCTCCCATCTCACTTTATTTTCTATAAAACCCCTCCATAATTTCACAACTTAACAAAAAAGTTTAAAATGCGGGACAAACGGCCCTGCAGCTCATTACAAACACAGCTCTCCTTGTCCCTCTGTCCAGGGCTCCTCTGGGCCGCTGACGTGTCTATTCCTGGAGACACATCTTGTGAAGCCCTGGGGAGGGACAGGTATCCAATACCTTTTGCACCCAGTGTCAGGAGCTGGTTCAGGAGGCCTCAGCACAGGGACTCCCGGGGGCCATCATGGTTGCCACCCCTTCCTATGGACAAGTCCCTAGAGCCCTAAGGGCCCTGGCTGCTGCTGTAGGCTTCCAGACAGCCATCTTGGGCCCCAGAGTGGCTCTGGAGGACAGTGGTATGACCTTCTGGCCAGAGGAGGTAACTGAGAGACGGGTGGGTGCTTCCAGAACAACCCTGGGAAGCATCTGGAAGGGCTGGACACCAAGGCCCAGGGCAGCAGAAGGGCTGGGCCGCTGGCAACCGTGAAAGGAGGAAGAACGGTGCCCTAGGCTGAGGCTGTTTGGGAGCCTGGCGCACTCCATGTGGAGGCCAACAGCTGCCACAATGCCAGGGCCTTTTATCCAAAGGCTTGAAGGCTGCAGAACACCTGATGGAGAGTATTGTCGGCCTGTCTGGGAAGAGGTGTGAGGCGAGAGCCCTGCTTCCTCCCAGCTGGAAGGAGTGGGAAGAGGGGCTGCAGGCAGAGGATGTCTCCTTTCCCTGGGAGTAAGGGAAGCCTTAGAGGCTGGGGTCCCCGGGAGTGTTCAGGATCTTCCTGACAGATGGTCTGGGAGTGGGACAGGGACAGGGAGAGGGAGCTGGGAGGCCAGGCCTCCAAGGGTGAACTCACACTGGGGAGGAAGCAACATCAGTGAGGCAACAGTGAGCCAGCTTGCACTCAGGCCTCTTTCAAACACACTGGTTGGGGCACGAACACTGACAACGACTGGAGTTGGGGAAAGGGTGACACTCCAGGCTCAGGCATGGGAAGGGGGCTGGCTTGGCCCTTGGCAGTTTGCAGGGCACAGGTCCAAAGCCTCTCCAGGCCCACTGTGGAGGCAGAGCCATGTGGCTGGGGACAGAGGCAGTCTGGGGCCGGGCCTGCCTTGCATACACCATCCTATCATATTTGGCAAAAGCTCATGTTTTCAAAGTTCAAAGACTTGATCAGCGAGAGAGCAGAGGAGGAGGCCCATGGGGAATGGTGGCCCAGGAGCGCCAGCCCGGTCAGCCTTGGAACTGTGGGTGTTTGGCTGGAGCATGGCTGCAGAGGTGGCCCTTGGGGCCCCAATACTGGTGCCCATCATAGTGTTCACTGGCCTGGGGCCGTGAGAGGCAGTGGCATCCTGGAATCTAGAGGGAAGGGATCCTCCATGCTCCAGCAGAGGGGGGGCATGAGCCTCCCCGGCTGCTGGACGCACCTGGAGCACACACAATACACAAGGCTGCAGACTAGAGCCAGGGACCCACGGCCGGCCCTGGCCATGCTGACAGACCCTGGAGTCTAGGAGGCAGGCCGGCTGAGGGAGGCCTGTGAACTGTGTGGAAGACTGTGGTCATCCTGGCCCCTCAGAGAAGCCCAGACAGTGACCTGCCACTCAACCCCACCTACAGTGGACAACTGGCAGAGACTGAGTGAGGGGCTGCAGGCCACGTGTGTCCTGTGGAGGTGTGGCCCGCAGCACCCCTTCAACTCCAACCACTGAGGGGCGCTGGGGCACCATGGCGAGCTAGGGGTGGTACCGGGAGTGGGAGCCATGGCGGGCCAGCCCTCATGCCCAGCCCCTCCCGTGCCCACCATGCCCACCGTGGCTCCACAGTGGCGGCCAGGGTCATGTGGCCACAGCTTCCAGGCAGCTCTGCAGCTTGCGAACGGTGCTTTCGTCCAGGGAGAAAAGGTCGAAGTCAAAGGTGGTGTTGGTGACATTGAAGTGGCCGGTCTCCTCGATCAGGTTAACAATCTGTAAGGTGGGTTTGGTGGGTTCAAGGACAGAGCTGGGCACCTATGCCCAGGTCTAGGAGGGGAGGACACGGTACCTGCTGC